AATGTGAGGTTTCTAACTTTCTAGGGAAGAGAATGTTGACTTAGTAGAAAAGGAAACTTTAAAACAACTATCTGAAAGGTATCCAAAGAGTTAAAGAGTCAAGAAAAAGATGTATGAAAAAAAAGGGAATCTCAACAAAAAGAAAAGCATAAACAGAAACCAAAGGGAATTCTGCAAAGCTCAGCCACGGAACTGAACATCACTGATGAGTGAATCTGTGGCCTCCCTGGTGGCTCGAGGTGGTAAAGCGCAGCTGCCCGCAGCCACTGCAGTGGAGTGTGACCCCTGCCGGGAGTGACCACAGGCGCGCCAGACCCCTCCCGCCCCCCTCCCCTCAGCACTGGGTTTCAGGGGATCTCCCTGTTCTGCTCCCCACTCTGTCTCTGGGGAGTCCTCTCACCGCCTGCACCTCTGCCTGTACCCCAGTTCTTGTGCGTAAATAAAGGAATCTTTAAAAAAGAAATAAAACTTGGAGGCCAGCAGGCAGGGGATTGGGATTTCAAATGCTGAGTGAAGAAAAAAAAAAAATCAACCTGTCAATCAAGAATCTCTCAAAGATGAAGGGAAACAAAAACTGAGTTCATCACTACCAGAAGAGCCAAGGAGCCCCCTCAGGCAGAGGGAGGACTGCAGAAATTAACGTGAAGACATGTGAAGAAATAAAAATCGGCAGTAAAGGCAAACAAATGGGCAACTCTGAAGGCCACTAGGATCTCGGCTTTAGCTCCTGTAAACTTGCCGTCTGGTTTGAGACTCACGAGTGAAAAACAGTCACTAGCCTAAGCTCTGCTCTGTGCTGCACAAGGATGTACTTTGACACCAGTAACGGGTAGCGATGAGTGTGAAAAGCAGGGGAGTGTAAGGTCGAAGTTCAGGCGGTGGAAGTACGAATTAGGGTGCAGGACTTCTGCCTGAAATCCTCCATTACGCGAACCGCTTCCACAGTGCTGACAACTTAGAGCGAAGCTGCTTCTCCCTCTCTTCTAAGATTTATTTATACACACAGAACTGGGGTGCAGACCAGAGGTGCAGGGGGGTGAGAGGCTTCACTAGGGACAGAGTGGGGAGCAGAACAGGCAGATTGACAAAACCCACTGCTGAGGGGAGCAGCGGGAGACAGTAGGGTCTGCTGTGCTATGGGGGTCACTCCCTGGCTGGGGGTCGCACTCGGGCCGCAGTGGCTGGTGACAGCTTTGTAGTGCTGCACCCCCAGGGGGACCCCATTTTCATATTTCTGTCCTAAGTGCTGTTGCTCAATTGACCAGAGTCCTGACAAATTAAGTGGTGGGAGCGTCCGTCCGTCTTGGTCAGGGTCTCAGAGAGGCGCCTGGCCCTTCAAGGCTGAGTCTGGGGTCCATGTGGGTTTCCCTGGGCCCGTCTCCGCTGGGTCCCTCCCCTTGCTAGCTCGGCTTTTCTTCGTGTTGAATGCTGTTCGCTGCTTTTTCTGCATTGCTCAAGGTGACAACGTGGTCCCCGTCATTTCGCATGTTCCATATCCGCACCGACCTGTCTCCTCCAGAGTAGCTCCCTCAGCTGTGCCCCGCCCCCCCTTGCCGGGCCTGACCCCGTTTCTGCCACGAGTAGCTCCCCTGGTCCCTTCATGGGTGCACTAAGGACTCTTGGACCGGAGTTTTCTTGTCCCCACCTGGCTTTGCTACGGGATCGTGCTGGCCTGGGGCAGGACGTTTTCCCGCCTCTACAGTCTTCTGGAAAATTTTAGAAGAATCACATGCGCTCTCCTTGAACTGTTTTGATCAGGTTTTTACTTTTTTTTTTTTAAATAATGATTTTAAATAATTCAACATTATATAGATTAAAGAAACCAACAGGCTCCTTGCTCCATGCAAACTTGGGTGGAATTAGCCAGTAAGACGGCCAGGACCGGGCACCTACTGTGGAGAAGGGTGGTCACTGAGTCGACCTCTCTGCAGTGACGGTGACCGGTCTGCTCAGCACTTGCAACTTTCTCAGGAACCTGGTCTTGGCAGGTTTCCAGGAACTTGCCCTTTTCATTCAACTGGCTACAACTGTGCGCACTTCCTTACACCCCTCTGCTTCTGCAGACCGAGTGCCGAAGTCCCAACTTGTATTTCTGATGTCAGCACCATTTTACTTTCCCTTCTGAGCCCATTCAGCTAAAGCTTTACCGCCTTTGTGGGTCTCTCAGAGAACAGTTACTTTCCTCACAGACTTGTCTCTAGCTTTTCTCCTTTATTCCCGTCGAGTTGCTAGTTTGGGTCAGTTTGCGCCTTAAGTTGGCCAGAGCAGCAGTCACCCCATCTGTTCATCTTCCCGGGCTCTCATGCTGGCCGACCCTACCCCTCGGAATGCCGGCTTCGGGCGGCCTTGTCCTCCCCAAGGGTCTCTCTCCCACTTTAAGTTCTCCCTTGGCTCGGGACATCTCTGTGTCCTTTTGGTGAGCCAAGCAACACGTAAAATGTTCCGTTAAGCCAGAACAAGAAAAATACCGGATGGTTTCACTCATAGCAGGAGTATAATGGACCAGGCGAGAAAATAAAATAATGAACCACCATATACCAGAGACATTTTACAGGGGTGGAGTGGGGAATGGGGGGCGTGGGGAGGGAAGTGCACGGGATTATGGTGATGGCATACGGGTGACTTGGTGATGGGAAACCCGCGGGGATTACAATTGAGATGAAAAAAAAAATGTACAAGATGATGTAAAAATAAACTGTTATAAAATTAAAAAAAAAATGTTCCCTGTGCAGAAGTGAGCTGGCTTTTACTGGCGGGGGTCTTCAGGGCACTGGAAGAGCCCACACCGCCTGGTGTTTAGACAGAGCAAGCCAGCGGGAGGGCGCCTGGGAGCGGCAGCTGTGATGCCCCAGCCGTAAGGTGCTGGGAGCTGGTAACTGCGGTAAGAATAAAAGCCCAGGCCCTTGGTGGCACAGCAGGTTGGGACGCAGCCCTGCAAGCCAGCCTCCGAGCTTCAGTGAGTCGGTCCCGCCCCGGAGGTGACCACATGGCGCGAGGCAGACCTCTCCTGACCCGCTGCTCCCCTCAGCAGTGTTTCAGTAGATCAGCCTGTTCTCCCCACTCCGTCTCATTGCCCAAGGCACACCACACACTGCAGTCTGAGGGCTCCCACTTGACTCCACCTGGAGACCAGTGACCCCATCTACCACTGGGGCCTGACCCCTGGGGCTCCTGCGGGAGGCCCACCCTTTACACAAGCCCCAAGCAGGTCCTGGCCTCACCTTCCCTTGCATCTGGCGCAGAGATTCTTCTACCTGCCCAGGCCTGCCCCCCAGCTTGGTGACCAGGCCCCAGGGTGAACCGCATTATCTGACAAGCTTCCCTCAACTTCTGGCTTGACGCCACCCTTGCAGCCTGTAGGCCTCAATCCTCTCTGCAGAAGCCCTGTTGCCTCCCCCAGCCTGACCCCAAAATTGAGGCATCCACAATCAGTCTCCACTTTCTGGGGGTGCTTCCTGTGCACCCGAGGTGCTCTTGACACAGCCTTCTAGTTCTAAAGCTCTCCCCTCTGCAGAGCCCACTCCTTCCTGCTTTGGTCTGGGAGGCCCTTTAGATGTGGTCCAATTCAAGCGGAGGCCACCACCTCAGGGTAGTCCCCTGCCAGCTGGTAACCCAGCCTGCTCCTTATCACCCCAGCTGGAGCTGTTCACAGGGCGAGGCCCAGCATGAACTGTAGACAAGCCCCGGGCACCCCGTCCCCACGGAGATGGCTGGAGGACTTGGGGCTCCTCCGGGTTGTTTCTCCCCTGAAGCTCACACCCGACTGCTTGCCACCAGCCCTGCTGGTCTGGGAAGCTTCCTTGGGGGGTGGGGCAACCTGACTCAGCCTCATCCAGAGCCTGCTCAAAAGTGCTGTATTTTTTGGGAGGAAAACTTTTTATTAATGCATACAAGAACTGGGGTACAGGCCAGAGGTGCAGACTCACCAGAAAGTGGGGAGCAGGGCACAGGAGGGATCTGCTGCACTCTGGGGGTCACCCCCTGGTTGGGGATCACATTTAGGCCAGAGGCTGTGACAGCTTTAGTGCTGCACTCTAACCCATTGTGCCACCAGGGACGGCCTCCAAGTGCTATTTTCAGCCATCGTGTGGCATCAAGTGGCAATGAGGCCTAGCCTAGCCACTGACCTAGCTTTGCCTGACCACACCTGGGCACACCAGGGGTTGGCTGGAGTCAGGACCAGCCTGCAGCTGCTTCCTAGCCCTTTCCCAAGCGTCCACAGGCCCCTCACCCAACTGACCACTGGGCCACACACGGGATTCATAGCAAATGACTGCCCTAAAAGCAACTCACTGGGTCAGCAAACCAGCAGTGGACCCTGGGGTGACAGGCCAAGGACATGCTGGTCTGGGTTCTGGGCCCATTCCTGATCTCAGTAGAGGTGGACAGAAGGTCCAAGCATGCTGCTCCTGTGAACAAGGGCACACCAGTCACTCTGGAGGGTGTGCGAGCCTCACTTCTCAAAGTCACCTGCCTGAGCGCCATCCCTAGGGACTGGTCTGTGGAACACTGGGGACACATGTTCAATGTGGACACACCACAGGGCAGCCCCGCACCGAGCAGGCCTGAAGTGGCCCTGGAACAGCGCCCCCACTCAGAAGAGGCACCATAGAAGGTGCAGGTGCCCCTCTCAGGAAGACCGGCTTCCACTCCCATGTTCCCTGGACTAGTTTTTGTCAGTACTTGGGTCTTGTACTAACAGCAGGAGGAGGGACACCTTGAACCCCAACACCTCATCAGGTGGGGCACATTTGATCCCTCTAAAACCTTGCAAGCTCATCGACTTCAGAAAGACTTGCTGGGCAACCATCCCCGTCACTCCCCCTTCCTGGCGAGAGGCGGCTCTAACTAGCTGTGACACCTACCTCCCGAGGCAGAACCTGGCGGCATCTCAAGAGGCCATGGCCCGTCCCTATGGGATCGCCAACCCCCATCTGCATGCGAGACCCATGCAACAAATCTAAAGCAGCCACTGAACGGGACAGATTTCAACACTCCCCTCGTATTAAAATGGAGATCTGGGTTAAGTTTATTAAATCAGAGACAAAATATAACTTTAACATTGTTTTTAATCAAGTAAGGTAGCTGTCTGAAACAGGAAAGTTTTTTTTAAGACAGTCGAATAGAGCAAGGTGAAGGACTTCTCTATTGGGACCGCCTCTGGATAAAATTCCTACATGGATCTGAATTTCATTTCAAGTTTGGCACCAGACAAAACACTGGTTTTAGGCCAAAGTTTTCTCTTTAGTGTTTAGAAGCCCTTTACAGGCTTTCTTTCAGATTAAAAACAAAAAGGCTTTATAACTGAACCGAATTAGCTTGACACTGGGTATACAGAATGCAACTTAGCTTGGGTCACCGGTATTTCCTATAGAATTGCAGTTAACAAAAGCAAATTAGCCATGACAAAGAATCTGAAACCTAGGTGAGATGTGAATTTTGCAGAAACCTCTTTGGTGAGACAAAGCACATTCCATTTAGCTGTATGGCTCCCATTTCACTCTCATCAAAATCCATCAAAAGGCAGCTTGGAGACCAACCTAGTTCTCGAGTTACAACGCTCAACTTTAATTCTCTCAAAATAACAAGCTAACGAGGTTTAGTGTATCAAATGCTTTTATAATTTCAATGTGAAAAAATTGTTACAGACATCTGCGAAGGTCTCACTGTCGGCTACGAGCTGGGTCACCAAGAGTTGAGGTGAACCACGTGACCCTGCTCAACATTAAATTACCATGGGCCGGACCCCAACCCCCTTTGTGGTAAGGAAAAGGCACTCGAGAGTCCCTTCCTCGAAGACGCCTTCTCAGGTACAGTCCAGAGCTGCATTACCTGAGTTAGACCAGCTAAGTGACCAAGGAATCCCGGAGTAAAATTATCCTCAATCTAAAGCTGCACCCAGATGGGCTGGAGGGGGCACTGTCACCTGCACTCAGTGGCCTCTTCCAGACTTTTTTTGGGTGACTGGGTCTATTTAATGTGAAATTAAAACCCCCAAGTGTCACATCAAAATATAGGCTCTGACTCTGAAGTATGATTTTAGTTTTTTAAATAAGACATTTTGAAATCAACAACAAAAAACAAGTCTGAGACATGAACACTTATTTCAGCAAGGTAGCAACCCAAACCTAAAAAGCATAAGCTGTGTCCAAATGTGAAATGATTAAAGAAGCCCAAGGAAATATACAGTATGTCTAAACATTTTAAAGTTGTACTTTAAACCTAAGAGCGGAAAAATTATGTTGTTTTTGCTAGAATAAGTGCACCCTTTCCTGTATCCCCCAATAAAATCATAGTTTACTATTTAATCACACCCCGAAGTCTGAGTTTCTCTCAGTACAAAGCAACAGCTGCACACACAGAACGCCTACGCGTTAATGTAGTTCCCCTGGCTCATCCAACGTGCAATGCACATGACTTCAAAGACTGCGATTTGGGGCAAGTGTACACAAACTGGAAAAAGAAATTCAAGTTTCAAAACCTGCTCTTAAAATTACTTATAGGACACTCAGGTCATTTTTACCTCTTATAAGATAAAGGAGTTACACTGTCAATTTATCATCAGTCCACGTTGGCATGGTGAGGACATGTCAGCCAAATGCCAATTCAAGGGACGAGAGCAAGACTTACAAGTACTATACTTCTTAACGGCTGAATAAAATAATTACAAATAGGTTTATGCTTACATTCTGCCGAAGACCTCTTCAGTCTCAGCAGTAACAATATTCAAGAGGCTCCGAGAATCCTATCAGGTTACAGGATGGTGCAATATTTTGAAAAGTAGCCAATTAATTCAGCTTACATTCAGAGCCAAAAATTTGAAGAATGACCAAAATCAAATCTTTATTTTTATAACTGTATAAATGTGATCCCAATGTGTCCACCACTAATTTTTCAAAAACAAACATGCTATAAATAAGCAAACTACATCTGCTCACTGGTATGTGTATGGACTCCCTAGATGTCTCAGGGCTTAATTACAGACCACTCACAGCAATACAATTTTAGTAGAAAGTGTAGCATGATGTTAAGCCATTTCAGCTTTTCCACATACATGTTGCACTTCTGGCTGATGATGCAGAACAATTCGCAGCAGTAAACTGTTAAGCTGGGCTGCACCCACCCCTCTAAATGGCATCAATATCAATGTCATCGTCCTTGTTGTCAGACTTCACAGCTTCAACTTTCGGTACACTGGCAGTCTTCGAATATACCACCTGGTAAACAAATGTATTGATGAATCTACTTATAAACACATTGACATTTAGTCAATTGTCTGCAACAACAACAAAAAAAGGATCTGAAAGTGCAGCCATTACCTGCATATGAATTTCTGGTATACAAAACCCCTTCAGCCTAACACTACCTGCATTTTTCTGACAAGCAGCACACCTCAACACTTGACCTACATCAAACCCTTACTCTGGTAATTGTATGTATTTGGAAACATGTCTGGGGAGGGGGATGCAGCAAGATCTTTCTAACCACATCCCCCATGAATGATTATTTTTCCAATCTCTGGTTGCACTTTGAAGTTCAGAATTACCCAAAATGACTGTTTTATAACTCAAACACCCACCACCAAAACTTTCAACACTTTCTCCAAATTTTTACCTCAATATTCTCATCTTCATCATCATCTTCACCACCAGAAGATTCTTCCTCTGCCTCCTTCAACCACTTTATAAATGGTTCTGCTTTGACACGAATCTCTTTGGCAAGTTCTTTTGAAACATATTTCTTAGAGGCCTAAAAAAATGTTCAGTACAGCTTTCTTAGTTTGAGGATCTAAAAAATAATTCAAGATATTTTGTAATTTTCCATGCCGAGCTCAGGGCTGGGTCTGATTCTCGAGGCTACATATATTTAGCAAATAATTACTCAGGTAAGTAGTTTCTTCTGTGAAGAAACTGCCATAGTAGAAATCTCCCAGAAGTCGTTACACTAGTCAAACACAGAACTACATCTGACGGAGACTAGTTACCTGAACAACTAGATACCGTTATGTTTTCCCCACCTTTTCCGACCAGCTGATGATGACCTCTTCCTCCAGAAGGTCTGCATCATACATCTCCTTCAAGATGTGGGGGATCTTGGAGATGAGCTGGGCTTGATGCATTGCTACCACACACTCCAGACCATGAAGGAGGTACCGTTGGGCTTTTTTGTTGTTGTGACAAAACTGCAAATATTAACAAGTTTTTTTAGATGTTCTGGGACAAGGTTTCTAACACTCAAATTTATGCACTGTTCAAAAGATGTTCCTGACAACCAAAGCCCTAAAGTAGCAGCTCAAAAACCAATCAATGAATGCATCAAGACCCATTGTTTTATGCATATAAAACTATGCAGCATTTTTCAGATACTGACATGCTTCTAAGTAGGTCAATTATCATCATAGCCAAGATAACAGGAACACATAATTGAGAGGTTAAAATCTTTCCAAGGTCAGAGCTGTAATCTCATTACAAATCTAATTTGCTTACTCGTAGGAAATGGCGCCTGTATTTCTTAATTTGTTCTCTAATCTTCTCATTAAAAAGAACTTCAGTCAAGACAAGAGGGCCCATGGCTTTTACATCCAGTCGTTCTGCCTCAGCAACAATTTCTTTGTCAGATGAATCAATAATACCTTCTTCTTTCTTTTTCTGGAAAAAGAAAAGAACCCAGTAAAATTCTGCTGTAGATAAACCAGATAGTCCCTGTTCTTGTGGAGTTTTTGGCTACCTAATTCATGACAATTCTAAGACCTTTAAAAAGAGTAACTCATATTATCCCTCAACTACCCTAAAATTTCAAAAATGCAAAAGCAAGCTTGTCAAGTATTCACCTTAAAACTACATTTAACAAGGCCCTCCCTGGTGGCGCAGCGGGTTAAAGCACTGCACTGAGAAGCTAAAGCCACTTCCGCATGAGTTCGATCCCCGCCTGCCCCGGAGGAGACCACATGGCGTGGCAGACCTCTCCTGCTCCCCTCAGCAGTGTACTTCGTTGATCTGCCTGTTCTGCTCCCCACTCTGTCTCTGGTGAAGTCTCTCACTGCCCCTGAGTCTCTGGACTGTACCCCAGTTCTGTATGTACAAATAAATAAAATCTTTAAAAAAAAAAAAAACTACATTTAACAAAACCCCGACACGATGTTAATCATAAAAAACGAACTGTTACTGAAGCAAATGTATTACCTTAACAAAATCAAAGAGGATATTGACCCGTTCTTCAACAGTCCTTTCCAGATCATCACTGAGAGTCAGAACTTTTGCATGGTCACTGATTTCATCCATTCTGCGCCTTTGAGCTTCCTCAGTTGTATCCTCCCCCCAATCATCATCCTCCTCTTCTTCCTATTTATAATAGGGTGTTTGCGCAGTCTTACAAACCCAAAATCACTTTGTACTTCTAAATCAAGTCAACAGCACCAACTTCATTTCTACCCAGTAAACTCGGTGTCCATGAATTCAACGGCGCCCAGACCCAACTGTAATTACGGTCAATATTATGAAGGTAAGTTTCATTATTTCTGCCCACCTCAACCAAATACATCCACTTTGCACCCTTTTAGGGCCCCCACCCTGTCAACCAGGCACTCACCACAGCATGAGGAGGAGGACTAATTTCATTTGGTGGTGGTGGGGGTGGAGTCTCACTGCTAGACACTGAGCCATTTTCCTTGTCTTTTCCCTTCCTATTTTTCTTTTCCTTTTCTTTCTTTCCTGTACCACTGTCACTATTCTCTATAAAAAAGAAAAATTCAGCGGCATGGTTTTCATTTTCAAAGCCATTGTAAACCCCGCCCTCTCCAAGAGGTCCACAAATACCACACCAAGACAGTTTGCCAACTAAATTCACACACTCTGGTTAAGAAATTCAGGTTAAAAATGAAATGCCTAAAAAAAAAAAATGAAATGCCTCAAAATAACAATGATATGTATTACTGAGTACGATTAAGCGACGATGCCTTAGAAGCCATTCACGTTCCTCCCTCGTTTTTTATGAACCTAAATGTGGGCACAGCTCAACTTTAGTTCATTTAGAACCCTGTTTAAGCCTATATAACGGCTTGTCTCACGGAGGGGAGAACACCGGAATAGGTTAGACTTTCTTGCTATAGCAAGCGCAAATTGTGTCAGACATTTTGATCATCTGCCACAGAGTGTTGCTTGCACTGAAGTTACTTAGGCCTAATGAGCCATTTGCCCTTACAAAACAACATCCAGAAAACAGATCCACTGCTGCGATCCTGTCACGATGCTTGGTTTACAACAATGACTTCATTAACCACCCAGAAGGAAGCTAGTTAAAAGTAAATGGAGGTATGGTAGTTCTCCAGTCAGGCTTTCACCTGTAACATCTTTCTAAGCCATCGAAACAGTTAAGCGTTCAGAGCTCAAATAGACAGTTTAATGGCAACCAAGAGACTTCCATTTTGTTTCCCAACAATCAGTTGCTTTATTAAGATCACTTAAGTTCATGACTTACCAGGTGGGTTTTTGAGAATGAATGTGCAGAGTTTATGATGTGTATCAAGCATGCCTCGATAGCCACAGGCTTTACAAGAATTACCTATTGTTTGCTTCTTTGGATTGACATGCTGCCAGAGAGAGTAAAAACAAGTATGTCATCTATAATAGATGAGGAAAATTCTGAGAGGAACATAGTGTGAAAATACCCAACAGCATCAACTTTCCACATAAGACCACCCACCTACCACGGCCCACTCTACTAAATAATCTAACACCTTGCGATCATTTACTTCGAATCAAGTCCTAACTCAAGAAAGCCAGTCATTTATCCTCTTCGATTACCAATCAACCCAGACGTACTCACCAAATCTGTTTCAGGATTCTCACACTCAGGACAGAGAACAAATTTTTTAATGAATCCATCTAACATGTCTTGCAGCTTATTCGCCTCATGAGATCCATTGACAATGTACCGGTCATTCTTAACATCAAACTGGGTCTGTGCTCCCAGCTCACAACCAAAATATTTGGTGGGATCTATTTGGGAAAACAGGTTGAGTGTGGTTACAGGGTACACGCCCACAGGCCCACAACTACTTCTCAGGTTTCTTAAATTGCTAGGTCAAAAAAAAAAGTGCTGCCAGCGTAGTTTCTGCTCAGCGGTAACCTATCAGTTGGTTTGAAGTTCAAGGGTCCACTTAAGGCTTAACTCTCAAACTGATCAGCATGTACTTTAGGCAGATCAAAGACTCCCACACCTACTGATAATTTCCTTCCAGCAAGAGGCATTACTTACACGTTGGAGGCCGATTAAGCGCCTTTGCAACGTCAACCATGTTGACTATAACTGTCTTGATTCCATTTCCCTTGCCCTCAACCTAAAAGAGAGGAGAGTTTTCACTGTGCACCCACGCCAGCAGAGCCTCCGCAGTGACTGGGGTCACCGACTGGGTCCTGACACCCACGAGAAAAGCAACATTACCTTGGCAATCAGACGGGGCATCTTGTAGCGATAGAACTGGTCTGACACGCTGCGGTTGACGTTGACAGACATTTTGGCTTATTAGTGGCCTTATCAATAAGATGAAGAGATCTTTGATTGCAACTTTTTGGTATCTTCTGTCTGGAGAAGAAGGGATGACATAAACGACTGCAAGAGTTCTCGGTCTCTGACATGAAAAAGTTTTCGCCACTGAGGCTGTAAGCTTCTTGCTTGTACGCTATGTTTCCCCAATACAGGTACCAATGGCTGCGCAACAGCTCTGAAAGAGAAAGGAGAGGGCACACGGACCCCCGCGGTGAGCGGCACCCCTGCCTGGCCAGCTCCCCGCGACCAGCGTCGCTCGCTCCCAGGCCCGGACGCCGCCGCAGCGGCCG